AATATTTTGAATGTTTTTAATATTATATTGAGTTCAATACCTATGTTAAGAAAAAAAAACGAAAAGTATGTGTATTATTTTGCTGATTAATACGCGTGAAACGCATTATTACTTCAGCTCCCTGTATTCACGGCGGCGTCGACGGCGGCGAATCCGACCGACGATCGGCGACCAATCACAGAGCGAATAGACCCGACCAGGGGGTCCAGACGTCGCTCCGTGATTCATTTGGATTCGCCAACGCGGTGCGCTCTTATTTGGTACAGAGTATTTATACATATAAGGGCTGCAACTTTTTAGCGCACATTTTATAATTTTTACCTGAAAAATCGGAACTCATTTGCGCACACGGTTATCCTAAATGTACAACTGGTTTGCGCACACGAAAATAAGGCTATATGCCTATATGACATAAGCGCCAAAGGGGCAAAAATGCAAGGCTGGGCATTAACGAGTTAAAAAGTTAAAGTTAAGTTAAAAAGTTAATATAAAATTAACTTATTAACTTAACTTTAATATAAAATTAACTTATTAACTTAACAAGTTACTTTTGGCTTTTAATTAACTTAACTGTTAACTGTTAAAAATGACATATCATTTGTGCCAAAATAAATATTTTATATAAGTAGTTTTTCTAAATTGATATATCTTAGAAAAATGATATTATATATGTATACTATATTATACTAATATTATTTTATATAAATAGTTATTTGAAAATTGCTGTCTTATAAGAATATTTTTATATAGAATATTAGAATATAGAATAGTTTCTATATTTTTGCTCTTTAAACAAAGTACACACAACACCTTTATTCGTAACAGTTTTTGTAAAATCCATTTAAACGAATGCTTACGATTAGGTACTATAACAATATGTTACAACACAAAACTGCTAACACACGACTGTCCATGTGACAATCTATCGTAATCAGATTATACATTTGTCGATTAAGATTAAACGTTTGGAGTATGAACTTGGAGTATGAGTTTATGTACGATACGAATTATTACTTATTAAGAGGGTATTAAAAGGTCAGGCCAAAAGGTAACTGTGCGCAAACTATGTACATGTTTACGGCTCAACTGTTCCCAAACGAGTGGTAGTTTTGTGCCCAAAAAAGTTGTCTTTTTGGTATTTGTGCGCAAACCAGTACCGCCCCTTTGTTCACCTACATTTTCTAATCGTATACAATATCTCCACTAAACATACGTAAATTAATCAACTGATTATTACTAAATAATGCATATGATTAAAAGCTTCCACATATCACTTACCAAGTAAAGAGTTTGAGATTCTCTATAACCCACGAAGAATGACATTACTGTTATCCTAACATTTTCTGTAGTTTCTTTATGAACATCCGACAACTCCAGCCAAAGGTGATTTTTTTTTGCCACGATTGCAATGTTCCCTGTGTCCTAAATGGTGGATCTACATTGAAACAAGATTGTATAGTTAATATTATATAAATTAAAAAAACAACATTTAATTGTATTTTAAAATCATTAACTGAGGGAAAGATTGTAAGTATCCAGTACAAACAATACTTCAAGTTCATGAAATAAATTTACCTATAATAACAATAATACTGTAATAATCATTTACCTTTTTTAGGATTATACTTGAGGAATTTATTAAAAGACTTATGTTGAAACGGTTGTTTTTCAGTTGCTGTGTATGGAAGTATATCTTCCTGAGCTACATAATCTAGACCCAGTGTCGCGTACGAGCTATGACCGGTGTCCTGATTTCCAAGACAAGTAACAGGTTCTGTTTGTACCCTCTAAAAAAATATTATAAAAATAATAAACTATTAATGCTAATTTGGATGAGTATTTTAAATTAAATTACAATAAATGGATAGTCCCTTTCATCTATTAAAGTTTGATAGTACATGTGTGTCTTTCCTTTAATAACTTTTTCCGCTGCACTAAAATGTATCAAAAAAAATAAAAAGTTTGAGTTTATTTTAGCTTTTATCATGTTATACTAAAATAGTTAATCATAAAATTGTTAGTTAATGCACAAATCTAGATATATATTTTAATATGTATTACTTGTCTGCTTCGATGACATCATCAAAGTCGTATAGTGTGACTAACCACGGAAACAATATCACCCCTCTGTATCCAAATATCTGGTGAAAAAACAACTGACCAATGTCATATTTTTCATTCAGCTTTTGTGTATTTAACCGTCCCACTTCTACTAATCTAATAATAACAAAAAACATCCATAATATAAATTAGGAACACATTTTATATTACAATTTAGATATATAAATCATAGGCTAAAATATGTCAAATTTTAGACTGTAATGATGAACTTAAAAAAACAAAATTATTAAGTAAGTGTAAAATATTACAAGATGTTAAAACAAAATTATGTTTTTAGATATTATAATATAATGCAGTCTACAAAAAATGCGGTACCTATAATTATAGTAGGTACAGAACAATGGACAATAGTATTGTCGTAGCCAAGTAGCCTATAAGCTATAGTATTATGTTCTGATGTTCATATATTATATTATTATATTTAAAGAAACTTTATGTTACCTGACATAATAACGTTTGCATAAACACAATATTATGTTGCTTTTTCCAAAATGTTTAAACATTTTTTTTTTTTTAATTTTATCTGAAACACTTGGGAAATTGTATTAATCTCCCAACCACCGATCGCTTTCGGGAATATTGGAGCAAAAAATCGTTCCGTTATCAAAACTACTCGGCTCGCCCATAGACATAATAGAATATTATAATTTAATAAAAAATCATAGATATTAAAGTCTTTATAATGACTATAATAATATAATAATTATTGTCTATTATGTCTATGGGTGCTCCTAATCGCGGAGGCCGCAGGTTATCTCGCAGTTTTCGTTATCAGTTCTTATTATTCTTATCATCATTATTATTATTTTTCGGAAAATCTTCCGTGGATATGCGGTTTAATTTGGTTTGAGCACTTCAAAAATCGAGTTCACTAAGTTTCTGTCGGTCTGCGTTTCGGAGCACAACTTGGATTTAATACCGATACTTACTGTTTTTGATTCAATAAATATTGCATTTAATTATTGTACATATGTTGTTTTGTCCTTTATTCATGATATATTAATTAAGCTCTGGTCAACTATAATAATATGTAATGTATATTATACAATATAGGTAGGTACAAAACTGTTCATCGACAGTACTATTATATATATATATATATAGTGTTGATTATAGGTACCTAAGTTAGGGAGCAGGTAGCCCATATGGGCATAAGCGCAACTAAGAGGGGGGGCTGGGGGGGCTTATTTTTAATTTTAATGTGTTTTTCAGGATTTATTTGAAATCAATGAATTTGATCTTAAAAATGAAATGGCTGTCTTTAAAAATTCATACGGCAATAATGAAAAAACAGATAGTTTTAGTGTCATTCTAAAAAAGTATTCCCAAATTTATATGGGATGGTTCAAGTTGCCAATATATTGCCAATTTCTTCTGCAACATCAGAGCGTGCATTTTCTGCCATGGGGCGAATTAATACGTACTTAAGATCTACAATGGAGCAAGATAGATTTAGTAATTTATCGATATTGAATATTGAAAAATATGTATTGATCCTGAGATAATTTTGGAACAATTCACAGTCATCAACAAAAGAAAAATGAATCTTATATAAATATATAATATGTCAATAACTATTTTACAATGCATACAAATAAAATATATAATTAAAAATAAATGTTGATATTAATGGTGTTTAAACATTTTGTGATGATGGATCGGGGGGGGCATAGCCCCCCCACGGGTTACTTTTGGTATAGTATTGAGGTGGGGCTATAGCCCCCCTAAGATTTTGTGCTAGTTGCGCCACTGCGCGCCGCCACTCGCGCTGCGGTGGTAGACGGCGCGCGGCTGGTCGTGGGAGACGCGAGCGCGGTGCGGTCTCGACTTGTCGAGGAGAGACGTTACCAGAGGGAGCGAGTCGGGCGTAGCAGAGGGGCCGTAGAAAGGGAGGATGGCTCACCACATTATTATTATTATTATTATTATTATTGTGGCGTACGAGGGTAATGTTGTCGTTGAATTCCCTCGTAGCCAACATTTTTGGGTTTTACTAGAAGAGACTGAAGAGAGGTAGGCAGGGCCGGATTTAGGAATGTGGGGGCCCTGGGCCCACCTTTAGAAGTAGATATTTTTTTCGATTAAGTATAATATATAATATAGTATAAAGTATAAAGTATAAGTATAAAATATAATATATTTAATAACCAGAATTTTGGTTATGAAAAAACAATGATTTATCGCCTGGTCGGACAGTCAGTTATATTCGACGGACACTTAATTTTTTTACAAATTTTTCAAACACAAATAAAATTTGAAACCAAATTTAAACAATTTATTCCAACAGTTATTAGATAAACTTCTCGTGTTTAATTTGGTACAAAAACTATGTTTCTACGACTTACGAGGCCTGAGTACTATTGGAACTACGAAAACATGTTTTTACGATCTATTTTTTTCTACCTACAGTGACGGCTCTTAACTACTATCGTACGTGCAGGAACAAGTTGTTATTAAACTATTATATTATAGATTATTAAATTATAACTAGGTTTTTATCGAGGTGATTTTGAAAATCTATTTTTCCAGCTGTGCCATCAATAAATATAAAAAACAATATTTTTTATTTATATTTTTAATCGTGACACTAACAATTTTCGGAATATTAAAAATCACCACGATAAAAACCTAGTAGGTTATCTCGTTAATCAATCTTAATCCGTTTTCAAAATTGAAATCTGTCAAACCAAATTACTACAGTTTTGTCTAGATTTTTGGTCTAAATGCCACTTTTTTACACAGACAGCAGCCCCCTTGATTGAAAATCGTCGAATTACTAAATTTAATTTAATAAAAAATACATTGTACTAACCTGGATAAATATCACGATCAATATATACTTTATGGTTGAAGCGTGAAAACTGAGTGTACCATCTATTTGTTTTTATTTAGAACTTATTCAGCACGCATTTATTTATAACAGTCCACAGCGGACGGCTTGCTATACAAGTTATAATATGTGTTTATTTATAACTGTTTTTAATTAAAATATCTACAAGTCTACAAGACAATAATAACATAATAATCGATTTTAAATTCACATTTGTAAGCTAGCTACTCACTTCTATAAATTCATTAGTTATTAAATATTAATAATAACATTTATTTATAAATTTATGACAATATCAATGATTGAATATTTTTATTCATGTTGTGATTTAAATCCGTTTTGAAAATGTTATATTGTGTTTTATACAATATACTTGGATGTAAAAAAAACATTTAGTGGGGGCCCTCAATTTGGGGAGGCCCGGGGCCCCTTGGCCCCCCCCTAAATCCAGCCCTGGAGGTAGGTAGATAATGATGAGAAAAATACGAGATAACACATTGAGTTTATTATCGAATCGAAAGACGGCGGCTGGTCGAGAGAGACGCGTGCGGTCTCGACTTGTCCAGGTTAGGTTGAGAGATCGAGCCGGGAACTGCACGCCGCGACGTCCGTGGTGGGTGACGCCGCGACTAGACGGACGCGGGTCGGTGTCGCCAACCGTAGCAGAGGGGCCGTAGAGAGGGAGGATGGCTCGCCACATTATTATTGGTATTGTTGTTGTTGTTGTTGCGATACAACACTCGGCGGCGGCGAGAGAACGAGTATAATCGTAGTCAGTGTTGCCAACTTAGCGGAAATTCCACCAAATCTGGAGTATTTAGTATCCTATTTAGTGGAGAAAAATACAAGTTAGTGGCTAGTGGAATTTTCAGTGATATTAAGATATTATTCAGCGAAATTTCAGCTGATTTTTTTTAATAAGTATCTTAATCAAATTAACTAAATTAAATAAATTAGTTAAGAAATGGTTGTGAGTCCATCAATTCCTACGAACTACTATAGAATTATGTGTGTTATCTACCAAAATCAGTGGCTAGATAATAGAATATTACTACCACCACGACCACGATTTAAGATATACCTATCTTAGTCCGTGATATACTGATATGAACTTAATATTGGTGGTCAGACTAGACTAGTGGCTACCGCACGGCACACACCATGATATAATATATAAATGATATATTGATTATTGATAGAATATTTTTTATTTTTATATTATATATTTATATATAATATATATCATAAATTAATAAGATTATTAGACTAGTACGTCTACTGTCTAGTGTTAACTGTGTAGTTTATTATAGTGTATACTGTAATTAGTTTATGTTTGTTACTTGAGATCAATAAAATGGGTAAAAAATCAAAGGTTCAATACACTCAAAAATTTAGAAAAGAATGGTTCAGCGATTCGGGATTAAAAGATTGGATTGAAGATATACCTACAGATCCTACATCAGCTAGATGTAAGTATTGCAAATGCACATTAAATGCGAGGTATAGTGATCTTAATGCTCATTCAATAAGCAAGAAACATTTTACATCTTCCCAACCATTTTCTAATGCCAGACAACTTAAACTTCCCTTTAAACCAGTCAATCCACCTAGCTTGAAAACATCTGTTATTGAAGCTTCTATGACATTATTTGTAACTTGTCATTGTGCTATACATAATATAGATCATTTAACAGATTTGAATAAAAAGTGCTTTTCGGATCAAAGTGAAGTAGTTAGTGTTAAGCTACACCGCACAAAATGTAGTGGAATAATAAAAAATATTTTATTCTGCCATTTTAAACAAATGCTTCGTCAAGATATAGGCGATAGTCCGTACAGTTTATTATTAGATGAATCAACTGATATATCTGTCACTAAACAACTTGGGGTGTGCATAGTGTATTATTCAGCAAGTCAAAATCGCACTGTTTCAACATATTTAAAATTAGAAACTATAGATGCAGGAACTGCTGTGAGCGTTTTAAATGGAATGAAATCGGTTATTAGTTATTATAACCTGGACCTACAAAATTTAAGAGGTATTGGCACAGACAACGCTAATGTAATGGTTGGTAGAGAAAATGGTGTTTTTTCTATGCTGTTAAAAGAAGTTGATCATTTGATTTTGATTCGTTGCGTTTGTCACTCAGTGCAATTGTCAGTGTCTGCTGCAGCTGCTAATGTTTTACCGACTCATTTAGAGTTCCTTTTGTCGGAGACATACAACTGGTTTTCTAAATCAACTAATAGGCAATTAAGTTACAAACAATTGTATAATGCTATTAATAATGGAATAGACCCATTAAAAATTATATGTGTGGCACAAACTAGATGGTTGTCAATTGAAGGTGCTGTAACGCGGATTTTAGATCAGTGGTTGGAACTCAAACAACATTTCAAAATTGCTGCTTCCCATGAGAAATGCTACAAAGCAAAAATGCTGAGTGAAATGTATTCTGATGTGAATAATGAAGCATATCTAATGTTTCTGAAGCCAATTTTAAGTGAGGCACAGTATGTAAACAAAATATTTCAATCTAATAATGCCGATCCAGCGAAACTTCTAGATAGCTTGATTTTATTAATTGAAACTCTTGGCAGACTTATTACAACACCTGCATGCAAAGCTAATTTATTGGACGTAAACACTAATATCTCAGATTATCTTCATCC